GCAGGGAGCGAAAAACAGGTTTTGTATCCGATGTGCCATTCCCAGACCCCACAGAAACATCCAGCATGGGAGGAAGGATGGGTGAAAGGCGCAGGAGACACTTATTCCAGACATGCAGAGGCTCTGAAAGTTACTGGAGGACTGGTTTACAAAAAGGGTATCAGGAAGCAGATGCATTCTATATTTGAATAAATTTGGTTTATTTTAATCAAATATCAATAGCAGAAGGTTAAATATATTTCTATGATATTTCTTCAAATGTATTAAATTTATTTAATTTACTCAACATGAGAATTAAAATAGTACAAGTGCACTTGTCTTGATTAATAAAGCATTTTAAAATATATTGCTTATTGGTATTTATTATTAGGAAGTTTACGTCATTTCTCGCGATCACCATCTTTTAAGATTGCAAAAATAATATGTATTTTTTTATATATAATTAGAAGTGTATTGCTACAAACTCTGACACTCAAATTTTCAAAATAAGTAGATGAACTGTTAAATCTAGAGATTGTTTCGAATACAGTTAAAAACAAAACAAAACAAAACCACAAACAAGTGAAGCACCCGAAGCAGAGAAATGTCAAGCGGAGGGACACAGGGTCACTGGTCCCACGGCAGGATCACGTACAGGGGAAGACGGGCCGAGATGTCGGGCCATGGCGCCGGTTGTTTTTGATAGCCCTTCACAAAGGCTTTTGGGGCAAAATTTAATTCGTCTGGCCTTTAGCTCTGTCTTCTTCCAGATCATGTGCTTCCTTTTTGGCGTCCCCTTCCTTTCCCTCGTGTCTGGAAGCGGGGAATTTGTCCTTGTTGTTCTCTTTTTTCCATTTCATCCTCCTGTTCTGAAACCAGATCTTTACCTGCCTCTCGGTGAGTCCTAGTGCGTGGGACACCTCGATCCTCCTCTTCCTGGTCAGATAGGGGTTAAAGAGGAACTCCTTTTCCAGCTCTAGAGTTTGGAATCGGCTGTATGTTTGTCTTCCTCTCCTCCTACCCGGCGCCGCTGTTTAAAACAAAAACATGGGGTTTGGGAGGTTGGTGCGGTCGTTCAAAGTAATGCGCAGGCAGGGAGCGAGGGCTCGGGTCCCTCTGGAAATCCCTCGAGAGAAGCAGCCCCACAGGAACGCCGGGGAGAGGAAGGAGAGAGCACGCAGGAGCCTACAGCCCTACACACGAGTGCGGGGAGAACAGCGACAGTAGACGCACGAAACGCTCCAGCTCTCTCCCTGCACCGGGGTTTACGGGACCGAGTTTACGAGGTCACTTTATTATCTGGTAACCGGCCTCCCCGGCCCTGCACCCTTCCCGGTCAGGCGGCGGC